CTTAGAACTAGGAAACAGGTGGGTGTAATGAGAAATGATGGGCCGATCAAAGCTTTACAAACTACAGGCTAAAACTACAGCCTGGTTCTACAACGAAGAAAGGCTAGAAGGTGGAGCAAGGGGGATAAACTTCTTAAAGGGCTTATTCAGACTTCGTGGATGGGATTAGACCCAGCTAGCATGGAATATGAAAAGCAATGTCTTTGCAGTGTCTCAGTTAATTCCAAGGAGCAGAGAGAGAAGTGTATAGAGAAACTTGGGAAGTTAGGGGATTGAAAAATAAAATGAGCTATGGCATTGAGTCTGTCTCATTTTAATTAAACCTTATACCTGAAGGACATCATGAATTATGTGTCAGCTCCCTGTCCAAACAAAATAACTGTTGCTGTTATTTTGTTTCTTTTAACACTAGAATTTTAAATTTATATTTTAGGACTCAAAACATTCTCTATGGTGGCAAAAACAAAAATACAATTGTAAGTATAAGGTCCTAGGTTCTATCCCCAGTACTGCAAAAATAAAAACAAAACAATGCCTTTATACAATACCTCCTAAGAAATTCAGATGAGAAACAGCGGAGAGAGAAAGGAATAGTGGCACAAGCCTTCAGCGCCAGCACCCTGAAGGCAGACGCAGGCAGTTCTCTGGGGATCCAGGCCAGCCTGGTGTACACAGTGAGTTCCAGGCCAACCAGAACTACAAAGTGAGACCTGTCCCCCCCAAAAATAGACAGCTGAATCTTGAGGTAGGCTTCCTAAGGAACCTCCACTCTTAATTCCATGCTGACTGTTCCAGTCTGCACTCCCACCAGCAATGAATAATCCTTTCCCTAGAAACATGTGCTGTAGTTTTACTAATGTTAGCTACTCTGAATGCATTAAGATTAAATACCCAAGTAGTTTGAATTTACATTTCCCTTATAACTAAAGATATTGAGCATTTCTTTAAGTATTTCTCAGATATTAGTGTTTTGTTTTTAATAATTCTCCACCTAGTTCTGTATCCCATTTTTAATTCTTTTTTTTCCTGTACTTTCACTTTTCTTGGGTCTTTGTACATTCTAGACACTAACACTCTATTATATGTATAACTGGTGATGATCATTTCCCCTTCTGTAGCCTGCCACTTTGCCCAAACGATAGTATCCTCTGCCATACAGAAGCTCTTCAGTTTCATGAGGCTCTGTGCACTAACTGTTGATCGCAGAGGCTGTGCCATCAGTGTTCTGTTCAGAAAACCCTTCCCTGTGCCAATGAGTTCAGGTATCCCTGACTTTACATATCATATTCAGGGTACCTGGTCTTCTGGTGAGGTCCTGAACCCATTTAGAGTTGAGTTTTGTTTGGGAAAATATATATGGATGTTTTCATTCTTCTACAAGCAGTCTGACCAGCACCATGTTTAAAGATGTTTTCTTTTCTCCAGTGTGTATTTCTGGCTTCATTATATAAATTCAGTTGTCTGTCCACAGGGATGTGGAATCATGTCTGGATATTCAATTCTATTCCATTGAGCGACATGTCTGTTTTTATAGCAATATCATGTTGTTATTATTACTATAGCTCTGTAATATAACTTGAAATCAGGGATGGTACTACCTCCTTGCATATACCCAAAGGACTCTATTTAAAGAGATACTTGCTCATCCATGTTCCTTGCTGTTCTATACATAATAGACAGAAACTGGAAACAGCCTAGATGCTAATAAACTATTAGAATGGATAATGAAAATGTGGTACATTTACACGATGGAATATTACTCAGTTGTTAACAATGAAACATAGTGTTATAGAGAGATAACGGGGAAGATAGAACAGGAAGATCAAATGAGCAGGGAAATAGAAAGGCAGGATAAAAGAGGTAATATGGCCGGGCGGTGGTGGCGCACGCCTTTAATCCCAGCACTCGGGAGGCAGAGGCAGGCGGATTTCCGTGAGTTCGAGGCCAGCCTGGTCTCCAAAGTGAGTTCCAGGAAAGGCGCAAAGCTACACAGAGAAACCCTGTCTCGAAAAACCAAAA